GGGCGGGCAGGACCTGAGGGGCGTTCGGACGGGCAGTTGCTTGGAGCGGGAGCCCATGAGCTGAGCGTGGGGGGGAGCGGGGAGCGAGGCCCGCATCGCGGAACGCGTTCGGGGCGCGGGGCGTGTGGAGCGAAGCGCCGGCCGCCGCCAGCGATTAGCCATGCACAGCGCCGCGGCGCCGCTGCTGCATTATGCAGGGCGCGAACAGGCGGCGCGCGGAGGGAAAAACAGGAAGGCTACTGCAACACGCGCGAGGGGCGGGGCGGGGCGGAGTAAGGAGGAGAAGCGAACATAGCGGAGAGCGGGCTGCAAAAAAATCGACGGCGCAGAAAGGACGGAAGAAAATTGCGAACAGCAGCTTCAGTGCCAGAGCATGCAGGAGTTGCCGATGTGGCAGTACAGTGCAAAAACCCTATGTCAAAAGGGGAAAGACCAAGTCGTGCAAGCTGTTCCAAACTCTTTTCCCATTGAATACTACTGACCTCTTGACACACGTACTACTTTGACCGAAACGAACTCCACGAAAGCTACAATTCAACATGCATTGAGTACGCTCGAATCCGTTACGAACGCACCGAGTACAAAGACTTCCATCATGTTCAGATGGGCGTTGTAGACGGATCTCGGACACGTTCAAAGCGCCCTACGTTGCCCATTGAAAGTTACGTAAAACGCACTCTCCGTCCGCGAGTTGGTGGGGCAGCGCTGCGCTACGCCGCAGACAGGTTCAGTCCGCAGCGAAGAGGTCTGACGTGAGGCGGAGGCAGCGGCGGCGCTGGTGAAGCGGCTCTTGACAGCGGAGTCGGTGACGGCGCTTGACGGCGGAAGTGACGACGGCCGGAAGCCGCCGCCATCGCCGTTGCCGTCGGGCGCTCGGATTAGGCTGTCTCAGCGCCGGCGCTGCGAAGCGTCTGACTCAAAGCGAGGCGAAAGCAGGCCGCGCATAAGCCAGCCAGAGCCATAGTCGTCGCAAAGATACTATGTTGCCCTGACTCCGTAAC